AGACCAAGACTGAGACCGAGACCGAGACCGAGACCGGGATCGAGACCGGGACCGAGACCGAGACCAAGGCCAAGGCTGAGACTGAGCCTGAGTCCGAGTCCGAGTCTGAGTCCGAGTTCGAGTCTGAGAGGGTGAAAGCCCAAAGCGTTCGTCTTCCAGACCCTGGGGGGTTTGGTGAGCTCCAAAAGTATAGTAGGGGGAGGACTACAGTGGAGCCAGTTTGGCCAGGAAAGGCCAGTTTGGCCCAGGAAGGCCAGACCCAGTGTTGGGTGATGAACTAACCACTGGGAAGTCCAAGACTAAAGTGAATACGGACCGACAAGCGGGGTAGCTTGGTGAAGTGTTCAAGAGCCGGCTCTAGTTCCCCCGGGAGATCGACTGGCCGATGCTCCTAGTCCAAGTGTGGGTGGCACTACCTACTTGGATACCAGGCGTGGCTCAATGGAACCTCGCTCTAAGCCCATGGCTAGAGCACCTAAAGGCGAAAGGCGGGGAGAGTACCCAGGTGGTTCGCGTAAGGCCACGGTGTTCCAAAATGTTGTCCCAAAGGCCTAGACTGTGGAAAGGAAGAGGAGCAGTCCTCTAGGGTAGTGACCAAGGACACAGTCGTTTGGTGAGGAAGTCCCAGAGGACCATGGGACTTAGGGGCCGGGCCTGTGGGCCTCGATCCAGTGGCAGTGTTGGCAAACACGGCCAGGGGCAGAAAGGGACTTGGTAGGAACTGACAAAGGGACTTTGGGGAAGGCAATTCCCCAGGTCTGTGGGCATCCTAAGGATGCTAAGGAGTGGATCTAGGATGACCACTCGTGGACAGATGGCCCAGTCTTGGAGAGACGGGATTGTGATGCAAGTGGTATTGGACCACTAGTGCAGCAAAGGTGAATGGGCATGGCCTTAGTGTAACGGGCCGAGATGTCAGTGGTACCTTTGGGTGTCGGTCTTGGGACCGGACACGAGGAGCACTTGGACCAGGTGCAAGTGTTGAGTGGCATGGATGCCATTCTTGGGGCTAGCAAGTCCCAAGTCCTGAATTGGACTTAAGAAGGTTGTGAGTGAGACTCCTCCAAGTGGTCAAAGGTGTGGTTAAGTGACTAAAGTAGAATGGAAAAATTAGTCGCTTACAACAGTAGAATTAACCTACTCACAACAAAGAGTTGTATATCATAATTGCTACTGTGAAGGAATGGCAACATTATCTATATGGATCGAACTTCCATGTAGATTCAAATCATTAGTCTCTCCAAATGTGGATCTTCGAGGCCACCTTGTTCATTGGCAAGAGTTCTTGCAGAAAATATTTGTTAAGATCCAGTACAAGCATGGAGGTGACAATAAGATGGCTGATGCATTATCCAGGATGGTAAATTCTATCTCATTCATGAAGCTATCCAATGATCTCTTAGATGAGCTTAAGGAGTTTGTTGACTTCGATTGCTTTATCACTAGTATTCATGTGAGGGTTTTGTTGAGGGACGCTTTTATAGATTTGAAGGGTGACAAATTTGTGTCATTCAAAATACAAGATGGAATCCTAGTGAAGAAGGAACATGTAATGGTTCCTCGTGTTGACAAACTCATGATGTGCCAAATGCTGGGCATCTAAGGGTATGAAAAGGTTTTTTTTTGGCCAAATGTTAAGAAGTACATATATGATTGTTTGACCTGCCAAGTGGTCAAAGTTGATCATCAGAAGCTTGTTAGCCTCTATCATCCTTTATGTGTACCTGAGAATAAGTGGGATAACATCTCGATGAACTTTATCACTAGTTTGCCCAAAACCTTTTGAAGAAATGATATTATTTGGGTTATTGTGGATCATTTGACGAAGATGGCTCATGTAAGCGACTAAATTTTCCATTCTATTTTAGTCACTTAACTACACCTTTGACCACTTGGAGAAGTCTCATTCACAACTTCCATAAGTCCTTTTCCGGACTTGGGGACTTATTAGCCCCAAGAATGGCATCCGTGCCACTCAACTGTTGCACTTGGTCCAAGTGCTCCATGTGCCTGGTCCCAAGACCGACACCCCAAGGTACCACTGATATACTAGCCCGTTACGCTAAGGCCATGCCCCTTCACCTTGGTCACACCGGTGGTCCAACATTACCTGCATCGTAGTCCTGTCTCTCTAGGATTGGGCCATCTGTCCAGGAGTGACCATCCAAGATCCACTCCTTAGCATCCTTAAAATGCCCACAGATATGGGCAACAGCCTTCCCCAATATCCCTTTTACAGTCCCCACCAAATCCCTTTTCTGCCCATGGCTATGTTCGCCAACACTGCCACTAGGACAAGGCCCATAGGCCCGACCACTAAGTCCCACTGTCTTCTAGGACTTCCTCACCATATGACCGTATCATTGGTCACTACACCAGAGGACCACTCCTCTTCCTTTCTATAGTTTGGGGCTTTAGGACAACATTTTGGAACACTGTGGCCTTACGCAAGCCTCATGGGTACTCTCCCCACCTTTCATCTTTTGGTGCTCTAGCCATGGGCTTAGAGCAAGGTTCTGTTGAGCCACACCAGGTATCCAAGTAGGTAGTGCCACCCAAACTTGGATTGGGAGCATTGATCATTCGATCTCCCGGGGGAATTAGAGTTGGCTCTTGAACACTTCACCAAGCTACCCCACTTGACAGTCCATATTCACTTTAGTTTTGGACCTCCTAGTGGTTATCCCGTCACCCAACACCTGGGCACGGCCTTCCTGGGCCAAACTAGCCTTTCCTGGCCAAACTGGCTCCACTGGAGTCCTCCCCCTATTATACTTTTGAAGCTCACCAAACCTCCAGGGTCTGGGAGATGAACGCTTTAGGCTTTCACCCTCTCAGACTCGAACTCGGACTCGGACTTGGACTCGAACTCGAACTCGGGCTTGGGCTTGGTCTCGGCCTCAGCCTCGGCCTCGGTCTCGGTCTCGGTCCGGTCTCGGTCTTGGTCCCGTTCTCGGTCTCGGTCCCGGTCTCAGTCTTGGTCTCGGTCTCGACTTCAAACTCCATCTCGGGTCCTTCTCGGACTCCATCTCGGATTCCATTTCGGGTCCATCTCAGTCCATCTCGAACTCCATCTCGGACTCCATCTTAGGTCCATCTCAGACTCAATCTCGGGTCCATCTTGGGTCCATCTCGGGTCCACCTCAAACCCCACCTCGAACTCCATCTTGGACTCCATCTCAGACTCCACCTCGGACACTTTCACGTGTCATGTTTTGGTCCACTTGTGTCCCCTTTTCTAGAGACTCACTTATGGCTCACCTCGTGCTTGTTCCTCGAGCACTTCGTTGGGAGTTCCACTCCCACTCTTGACCTTTTCAAATCGGAGCTTTTAGTCCAAATGTGTTACGCTCGTTTGGCTTTCGCTTCGGCCACTACCACATGGCACCCTTTCGGCTCCACTTTGGGGCCTAGGGATTTTGTGTCTCACAGCTCACTTCTTCCTGCTAAAGATGACGATAAAAGCTTCTAAACTTGCTCAGTTGTTTGTAGACCTGTTATTCAGTCTTTATGTTTTGCCAAGTCTGATTAGAATCCTAAGTTCATGTCCAAGTTTTGGCAAACGGTCTTTAAGAACTAAAGACTAAGCTAAGTATGAGTAGTGGTGAGCATCCACAATCAGATGGGCAGACAAAGCATATGAATCAGCTATTAGAAGATATGTTGAGGTCTTTTGTGAGAAACTTGACTCAACAAGGAGTATGGGAGAAATATTTGCCTTTACTTCAATTTGCTCACAATAGTGCTTATTAATCAATTATTGGCATGTCTCCTTTTATGGCAATGTATCGCTATGAGCCTAGGTCTTCTATGAGTTTGAATTTGGCTTTGGTTCGGGTACCTCATGCTTGTGATTTCCTGGAGGATATGCAAGACAAGCTTGAGTTGGCAAAGTTAAACATGGGGCAAGCTCAAGAGCAAAACAAAAGATTGGCTAATGAACATTGTCATCATCAAAAGTACAAAGTTGGTGACAAGGTATTCCTTAAGCTGTCAGATGCACAACAGTCTCTAAAAGGAGGTGGTAGTGCTAAGTTGTCTCTACAATATTGTAGGCTTTGGACAATTTATAGCATGTGGGGGATCTTGCATACACTTTGGACTTGCCAACTAGTTCAAAGATTCATCCAATGTTCTATGTGAGCAAACTTAAAGTGTGTTTGCACTCTGGTGATGTAGTGGATCAGTCCATCAACCAGGTCCCAGAGATTGATGTAGAGAAGGCTGGTCCAGCCAATATTCTTGCTCAAAGATTGGTCAAAACACGCTGGAAGACAACTAAAGAGTTGTTAGTTCAGTGGAATGGCTATTCTATGGACGGAGTTACATGAAAAAGTAAAGATGATATGAAGAGAGTGTTTCCGAGTTTTGGTTATGACTTGGATGACATTCCTAAGGAAGGGGAGAATTGAGTTCTATAGCCATATTGCTATATGCTTTAAGCCATTTGTTCTATTCTTATTCTCTTGTTTCCATGACTGTATTGTCATGTGAGAAAGCTATATTTCTTTCTTTCTTTCGTGACCGTTTGTCGCGACGCTAGTGTTGCCATTTGCACATCTTTTCTCCATGGCCATATTGCCTTAGACTCCCTTTATGTGAGGCTCATTTAGCTTCTCAAAGTTGCTGTATGTGGCTAGGTCATGAGGGAAGGGAGAATGACACAAACCATAAGAATATTCTAAAAATATTCCATGGCCTGTGGGATTTAAAGCCGTAACACTTTAAGAGCTAGGCCTAGGGAGGTAGGCCTAGGGTTCACTCTCCTATTCGTTTCAATATGTATGCCAAGTGTGGTGGCATAGACGATGCTCGGCACGTTTTCGAGAGCATGGAGAGGTGGCTCATGCTGGGCTATGCCCAGAGTGGCGATGGCCAAGCTGCACCTGAGCTCTTCCAGGTGATGGAACGCGCAGGACACTTGGACTTTCGTTGTTGCAGTGAAGGCTTGCTCGAGCCTGGCTATGGCGGCAAAGGAAGGATCATCTAGCGCAAGAGCCATGAGAGCTCTTGAGACCGGCATGGCTGTTCATCGCGAAGCTCGCAAGAGTGGATTCGAGTCAGATGCTTTCGTGGCTTGCGGACTTGTGGATTTGTATGCGAAGTGTGGGAATATGGAGGATGCGAGGAGGATCTTTGAGCACTTCGCCAGCCACGACGTTGTCTCGTGGACGGCGTTGATACTTGGCTATGGTGACAATGGCGAGAACGAGGTGGCGGTGGAGCTCTTCTTGCGCATGGTTCACCAGGGATACCATGCAAACGCTCGGACTTTCGTGGCAGTGATCAAGGGTTGCAGCAGCCTTGCCGAGGAGGAGCAAGGCGGAAGTGTGATAAAGTTTCACGCTCTCACCACTGGAATGGCGATCCATCGCCTCGCAGCTGTGAACGGTGGCTGCGATTCCAGGGACGTTTTCGTGGGGAACACTTTGATCGACATGTATGCAACGTGTGGAACTATGGTGGATTTCTGGCGAGTTTTCGATGCGATGCTTACACGGGGTGTGGTCTCGTACAACGCAATCATGCTGGGCTATGCCGAGAATGATGGCGAGGCTATGGCGCTCGAGCTACTCGCGGCCATGCACAGGGAAGAACCACGCGTTGTAGCGAATAGCTTGATCTACCTTGCTGCTGTGAAGGCTTGCAATCACTTGGCATCGCGAGAAGAAGCCAGGACTTCGATGGAAGAGCTGTGAAGATCGAGAGCCTGGAGAAAGGCATGGCTGTTCATGCTCGAGCTACGGAAGCCGGGTGTGATCGAGATCTTTTAGTGGCGAGCAGCCTGATCGATATGTACTCGCGAGCTGGAAGCATGGAGGATTCGCACAGGGCCTTTGATCAAATGGAGAGCCACGATGTAGTGTCATGGACGGGGCTCGTCTCCGGCTACGCTGAGAATGGCGATGGCGAGAGCTCCCTGGCGGTGTTCTTCGCGATGGTGGACGAGGGAGTGGAGCCCGACTCATGGACACTCGCGGCGGCGCTCAAGGCGTGCAGATCCATCGCCTCGAGCAAAGCTGGGCGACGTCTCCATGGCGAGATTTGCCGGCATGGACTGGAGGGCGATACCATCGTGGTCACCGGTTTGATTGACTTCTATGGGAAGTGTGCTACCATGGCCTACGCTCAGCGTGTCTTTGACGGTTCCATGGTTGCCGCGCAGGACGTGGTTGCATGGACGGCTCTAGTGTCCGGCTATGGCCGCCAAGGTGACGTGAAGTTCGTGTTTGTGACGTTCCAGGCGATGGTGGACACTGGCGTGAGGCCGGGTGGTGTGACCCTGCTGTGTGTGCTAGCCGCGTGTAGCCATGCAGGGCTTGTGGAACGAGGGAAACGATTGTTTGGATCGATGAGAGAGAAGTATGGGATTGATCCTGGGCGAGAGCACTACCACTGCGTGATTGATATGCTGGGGCGAGCAAACCATCTGGAGGAGGCGCTGGAGATTGTGAGATCGATGCCTTTCCAAGCGGGTGTCGTGACCTGGATGATGATCTTGAGCGCTTGTAGGAAGTGGAAGAACACGAGAGTTGGAAGTGAAGCATTTGATGCGTTGGTTGGAATGGATGTGAGGGTGAAATCGCCAGCGTCATGTTTATGAGAGCTAAGATCTTATCTATTGGCGGGAGCTCTTTGAATTTACGCCGTTGGATTTAGGGTTCTTGCTAGATCTTTTGCAATGCTGATGTTCTCTCCAACTCTATCTATGCTCCATCGTTTAAGATCTCCTCTTGACTTGACAGGTCTCCCAGTCGGATTCAAGGAAATGTGTAGACTGAAGACTGGAAACGATACACGAAGCTTAAGATCGGTCTCTGGAAAGAAGCCTAGTATTGTTTAGATTATTCTTCCTAGGATGTCATGTTACAGATGCTGTTTTCTCAAAGGAAAACCCCGAAGCCTACACAGTCTAGCCCGAGCTATAGAACTTCCAAAAATCTTGGAAGTAAAGATGCTCGATCAAGAGAGATCTTTGCCAGAGTGTTTGCAGACTCCACTTTCTAAAGGTATTATGTACTTTTCTCGTCTTGTCACTACTACTCACTTTCTTGCGCAGGCTTTCTGCCAAATACAAAAGAGTCCCTTTTGCCACCGGTCCGAGTCATGAGAATTTCCCCATGCTATGCTTTAAGTTCATATTGCATTAGTTCAGGCCTTGGATGATCTGGATCGCGTGTGCTTTGTGCCACTTGCAGCCGAACTCTTGCAGCCGATTGTTGATTTCCAAAGTATCTTGTGCTCGTTGTTTATTAATCAGGGCTTTTTATTTACCAGCAAAAAACCAAAAAACTGGGCATAGTTTCATTGAGCACGAAAAAAAGTTTCTTGTGTCCTTGGTGTGAACTGCTTCTTAAGACTTAAGCCGCGTTTACATTTCTGACCATGGAAGGCATGCATGCTTCTATATGTCACGCAAAGCGATAAAAGGATGCTCAAGCATTTGCAGGTATTTTTTGATTAATGTCTGTTTTCATCTCCTAGTTTCACCCTTCCACAGGTGCCAATGTGGAGCGAGCTCGAACAGAAAAAAGCTTCCAAGAAGACATAAATCGATTTGCTGCATTGACTGATCACCTTTCTTCCTTAGGAACAATGACACTTGAAACAGAAAAACTCATTTTCGAGCAGAAATAATCAGTGATGTGAATAGTAGTTCATCCTGGAGTGTTTGTAACATCTCTGAGAGAAATTTGTTTGACAGTCTAGCAGTTCTCCAAGAGAAGGTTTATAGCCAAGCTTCCCCGCATTGTAGCTGAATCTCAGCCTAGATCTTGGCAGGAGGGACTCCAATTCCTTGGTCTCATGTTAGGAGATTCTAGTCCGTGACACCATGACCATGCTTTCTCACTCGGTTTCTCCTTCTCTCACTCGTTTCCCTTTCTCTTTGCTCGTCCTTTCCCTTTCTTTTTGCTGCACATAAGGGTGACAAATAAAGGTCTTTTTTTACACCCTTATTTCTGGTCGCAAATTCTGATGGTGGCTGTTTCTAATTATTAAACAGTGTTTCTTACACAAATCACATTTCTTTTTCATTCTCCCATGGCTTAAGCTAATGATCCTTCATTCTAATTGTGATGGAACTACTGATTAATTGATGAGGGTGCAGTTGAGCTCGATATCTCCATATTTTGACCTTGTTGTTAGCTACATCACAAGAGGTTTTGAGTAAACTATAGAATAAACTTATATAAAAAAAAATTTGGATGGGTCAGTATCATAAATTATATTACAATTTTTGGTTTGAGATGGTAATGGATATACCTAGAAAATGCTTGGATATTCTAGGATATTCTATCATCTAACGGTTGTTATTCATTTAGATTAATTTTGTATTTATAATTTATAAACATGTCTATAATTTTTAAACTTTCTTAAACTCTTTCTAGTATATTCTTTTTTATTCTATCATCTAATGGTTGATATGCAATAAGATTAATCTTATGTTTATAAATTACAAACATGCTTATAATTATAAAATTTATTTGATTATTAAACAAACCAAGCGATGCAACATGTAACAATTTATTACGAGATTACATCAAAGCTTTCAAGTTGGACCTCTCTCCTTGGAACTGACAAGAAACGCAACACACAAAACTGCAGTTCGGAGCAGCAAGCTGGTGGTGCTCCAAAATCCTTGCAGACTTTGCTGGATTGAAGCGTCTGGAGCAGCCCATGCTTCATCTCCTATTGCCAAGATGAAACAAAAGAGCTCTCTCCTTTTCAATGGAAGTGGGGGACCGGCCTGATGCTGCAGAGCAGTTGATATCCCGCCGAGGGTGGACCATCATCAAGGCTTTTTGTGCGGCTCCTCCGCAGAAAAAGAATTTGTAAGAGCAATCTTTTATTTTTTTTTTAATTCACACATTAGCAGATTTACATGGTCCTTATGTAAGAGCAACATTATTTTTATAAATATTTTTTTATCCACTCATGTTCGAGGACCTTTTCCAAAGTAAACCTCCTTCCGGGATCCAATTCCGTCATGCCTTGGATAAGCTGCCTTGCAGAAAGGGATGGAATGCTATCCCAATCCATAGAATTGTGATGGAGGTTCCTTAAATTTCGATCTCGCTTGCGTGCATTCTTAAATACCACCTCCACATCCATATTTGGGAACGGACAAGTTGCCGTGAGACAAGTGTAAAGCAGCATCCCTAAGCCCCACACATCGCTGGCTGTGATATAGCGCCCATCGAGCATCGCTTCGGGGGACATATAATCCCACGTCCCAGCCCCACGCTCGTTCCACGGATCCTCCATCCAGCAAGCCATCCCAAAGTCGGACACCTTTGGGACATAAAACTTCCCAGGCCGCGGGTACTTCAGCAAAACATTCGCGGGCTTCAGGTCGCAGTGGATGATCTCGTTGTCATGAACCCTCTTTAGCGTCTTGGCGAGAGCTATGACGATCTTTGCAGATTCTTCCTCATCAAGCTGCCCCTTGTACTTGATCCGGTCGTGAAGGCTGCAATTGCACAGCTCAAGAACAAGGTGGTACACCTCCCCGTACTGATTGGGCTCTTCTCGTATGAGCTGCTCGAAGTGGACGAGCCCCTGCTCATCGAGACCCTTGAGTGACACCTCTAGCATAGCCATCAGCCGAGCTTCAAACAGCCCATCGGGCCCATGGACCGTCTTGATCGCAAAAACCTTCCCATCACTCCTTCGGAATGCCTTGTACACCGTCGCTTGCCCTCCACCCCCAATCGATTTCTCTAGTTTATATTTCTCTACCAGCGCTGGGTGTTCCTCACAGAGTTTCTCATCCAGGACCGTGTGGTAATCCATCCCTTGCCTAAGTTTTTTGTGCATATAATTGTCTAAACTATGCTCGCGCTCGCGCTCGCGCTTAACCATCTCGAATGAGCACTAGGGCTTGTTTGTAAAGGCAGAATCTTAGTTTATGCATCTTTTATTTTAAATGTATCATGTTTAAGTGAACATTTCCTGGAATGCCAAGTGTGGAAGCATGAGAAACTCTCGGCGATGGGATTGAGAACCACGACGTTGTCTCCTGGACGGTATTGGTTCTGGGATACGCTCAAAACCGGCAGGAAGATTTGGCTCTCGAGCTCTTCTCCCAGATGGAAGCTGCTATGATCAATCCAGATTGCTCGAGTTTTCTCGCGGCTATCAAAACTTGCTCTAGTCTGGCTGCGCGAGAGGAGATTGATGCGTCGTTGGCTGTGAAGATTAAGAGCTTGGAACGAGCTTTGGCGATTCACTCTCACGCATCAAGCTCTCGCGGCTTCAAGTTGGAGGCGAGGAGACATACACTTGGCAAACGCGATGGTGGACTTGTATGGCAAGTGTGAAAGTCTAGAAGATGCTCGCAGGGTGTTTGATTCGATGGAGCAGCACGACATCGTTTCCTGGACATCGATCATCACAGGCTATGCTCACGAGAGCCGAGATGGAGACGAAGCTTTCCTTCTCTTCTCTTCCATGCAAGAACAACGATTTAAACCCGATCGTTTAGCTTGTCTCGCCGCTATCAAGGCTTGTAGCGTAATCACAGAGAAGAAAATGGGATTTAGACGTAGAATCTCTCGAGAAAGCAATGAAAATCCACTCGTGGATCTCGCAGCTTGGCCTGGAGAGAGATCCGGCAGTCTGGTTGATATGTATGCCAAGTGTGGAAGCTTGATCATGGACGCTCGCAGGGTATTTGATAAAATCTTAGATCGCGACATAGTTTTGTGGAACTCTTTCCTGTTTGGATGTGTTTACATTGGCGAGGACGAGCTTGCGTTGGAATGCTATGCAGCCCTGGAAGTTGCTCTAAACTCTCAAACCTTTCTTGCGTTGTTGCCAGTTTGCAGGAACCTGGGAGATTTGAAGCTCGGGAAGCTCTTCCACGCACAGATTCTCCGGCAGGGACTGGAAGGGAGTTCTGTGGGGATTTCCCTGCTTGTGTTGCGGACCACATAGAAATCGCTTCCTGCTTCCTGATGTTGTCAATCTTTCCATCACTTTCTTTTCTCCAGGTCCGAATCACAGCGAAAAGTGGAGCTACCTCTCTGATACAATGGCAGCAATCGGTGGTGGCTCTGCGAAACCTTTGTGGCAAAAATCCAATGTGAGAGCTTGGCGAGAGCTTGTTGACAACACCAAGCTTGCTCTCGAGCTCGGTGACTGTGTAAACTCGCTGGTAGCCGCAAAACCAAGGCTCTCAAGACTCCAACAGGGATCACCCCTTCAAAGATTGTTTGGCGCGAATCCTCAAATATACATCAAAGTTTTTTCTCAAGTGCATCTTTTCCTACTCGCATGCTCCGAAATGCTTGGAACGCAGCGATGGCGTCTCCTCGAGCGCCATGTCCTGCAATCAAAGTATTCCATGCCACAGTGTTGGGAGACGCAATGGAGCTCTCAAACACAAGCTCGGCGACCTCGACGCTCCCGCATTTACAGTAGAAGTCGAGACTACATATCACCTAGTCTGCAGTGAAGGAAAAAGAGAAAGATCTCATACTTATGTGCAAGATCCAGCAATTCCAACTTGTCCACAAATCATACAGTTGCATCCTATCACAACATTATGTCCAATCTACATGCAAAGAAGCCAAGAGTAAGCAGTGCTTAAGAAAAGAAAATGTTTCTCAAACGTGAACCAAGTTGTCAAGCTTCACCTTATCCCAGATGACTGTATCACACCAGCTGATGATTAGTCTAGGGTAAATGAGACTTCAGAAGAAGAACGAGCCACTTTTGCTACCTCTCAGGGTCGAGGATGAATTGGCACTCACTGCTTCCAATCTTTATCAGCAATTCCTAAGAAAAAAACATTGTTTGTCGTTGCATTGCTTTTATTATTTATAATAAATCAGTGCTTGGAAAATTTGGTATTTTTCCCACTTTTCCTAAACAAGATATTGTTTCAGAATGTTTATAAATTCTAAATATGTTATAGTTCGTTAGATTGACGGTTTGCTCAAAAGTAATTTGTATGTTCAATTACATTCTTTTCTATTTTTAATTTCTTTTTCTTTCCATTCATTGTTACGATCAAAACTCTTGATCATAGTTTCACATCTACGTGTACAAAAAAAGCTGGACGCCACTTGCGAGCAAATGCTTGGTCATCGACTTGAGGCAGGAGACCAAGCAGCTCAAGGCACAGTTGAGTTAGTTCCTTTCATTTCTTTAGATGTACAGTGTTTCTAGAGGATGCTCGGAGCGTCTTCGTGGAGATAGAGCTAGAGTTGCAGCCGAACAAGGTTGCATCATATCTAGAGTTGCGGGTTTCAACTAATGCTCTGGCTAAATGCTATTCCAGGACGAGCTATATGGTAATTCCGGTTGAGTTGGACCGTTTGCCTTGAGGACCTCATTTCAGTTGAATTCGTTAGGGTTTGGTTGCGGGTTTATCATTTGGGAATGGCGGGATCATGAATATTTGGAAGCGCGAGATTTCTCTCTGGATCCAGGAATTTTGAGAGTCAGGCCGAAATGGAGAAGATTTGGTGTCTCGGCTGCATTTTCTTGCGCCGGCGTCTCATTCCACGCGACGTTGCATCGCAGCGATGCGCTGTTGACGACTGATGTGCATTGGTACACACAGACTCTGGATCACTACACGACTCAAGTGAGAAGTTTTCTTTCTTTTTCCTTCAAGAGATTGGATTTTTACGTGCTCGATCTTTGCAGGACGATGGAACTTTTGCTCACCGTTACTATGAGTTTACTGACTACTTCGATGCTCAAGATGTGTGGTGAGGGACCGTGTGTAGGGATCCAAAACGATTACAGTGCGGTAAGAAAAGCATTTTTTCTCGACTGAATTGGATCGCTTTTCTTACCTGCAGTGTCAAGGTGCTAGTGAAAAGATTAGGAGCCGCGATTGTTTCTCTGGAACACCAATACCATGAACAAAGCTCGCCATTCAAATCTCACGCGACAGAGAACTTGATTTTCCAAGCAGGCTCTTTTCGATCTCGCAGCATTTCGTGAATATTACCAGGTGAGCAGCTATTTTATAGTTTCACTGCTTGAATAGATAAAAGAGTCGGCTATAAAAATGAGGGACATAAATGCGAGCATCAATATTTATGATCAAAAGCACTTGAAAGAAAACTTGGCTACAGGAGATCTTTCAAGTAAGTCTAACGTTGAGATTGTGTTTTTGTTGATAGCCTGCATGTAGGTGATAGGTACCAAGTGTGCACCGAATTGGCATACTTTCAAGCGGCGCCTGCCAACAATAGCATTCGCTCTGCTCTCATTAATGTCAAGTACATAAGCACAAGCGGTATCATCTTATCCCATGTCCTGATGCTTGTGCAGGGCGGGTACCATTTGGATTTACGCTCCAACGTCTTCGAGAACGGCACATTCCCAGAAGTCGATAGCACAAACCTTCACTACGGGGGAAACAAGATCCCTGATGTTGTCCATCATTCGAGATAAGATTTTGTTTATAAACGGTTCCCAAGATCCTTGGTGTCATGTCTCCAAGCAAACTTCTTCGCTTAATGGTAAGAGAGCCATCATAAGCTATGTCGTCTCAAATCAGCTTTGATGCAATTGCAGAGCCCGCATATGTGACAAAATGTCAAAACTGAGCTCATGGAGGTGATGTGTGAGGCTGTCTGCAGAGTATCGGAGTAAACCCATGGATTTCGTTTAATCAAGACGATGGCTGAGGGGCACTCTTCCTGGTGGCTCTGAGGATGGCAACTTTCGAAGTGGTGAACAAAAGTTTTTGGGTGAGGACATGATGGAGAGTAAGTTGAGGAGGAAAGACTAAGAAATCATGCAAAATATTGGAAGGAAGAAGAGGAGAGAGGGAAGAGGACAAAGCACCTCTCTCTATGTGATTTTTAGGGCTGTGGAGTCCCAAAACATGATAACAGGGATGGAGCTCAGCATGGATGGCTTGAACTCAATGGACTTGGACACTCACTATCACTAGCTAAGTTTTGTGGAGCATTATTGTAGCATTCCCATACCTTTTTAGCATTTAATTTTTACTATTGATTTTTGGTTTGCTTAAGCAAATCTGTATGGATATTCTACCATCTAATAGTTGTTACTTATTATTTATAATTTATAAATCTTCTTAAGCACTTTCTAGTATATTTGTTTTTATTTTACCATCTAATGGTTGATATGCAATAAAATTCATCTTGTGTTTATAAATTATAAACATGTTGATAATTATAAATTTTTATTTGATCAATTGGATTAATAAGTAAGAATAACATTACTATTAAGCAAACCAAACATTGCTATTATGCAACGTGTAACAGATTTTTACTATTTTATATAAAAACACAATAAAATATCCCTCAAACCATTTTAAAAAATTATTAGAGGCATTAAATTTGTGAGGTTCAAGACAATGCCATATACTAATATTAGAGTAGTGGGATTTTGATAACTATTAGATTAGTTTCAATATTCATTTCTATATATAAACTAGGGTTTTTGGGTTAATATATTTTTGTATTCCATTTTTATATTTTATGCACTCACAGTGATGTGTAGTTTTGATTGTCCCTGAGAAGTGTTTAATTTAGAATGTTGGTTTAGATCTAACTTTTATATAATTTAAATCTTCCTTTCTTTATAGCTTTTCCAATTTCTTCTCTGTTGTTTTTCCTTTGTGTTCATTTTTATGGTAAAGCCTTATTCTTTAACTTTAGAGCAGCAGTTAGTGCAATTACTCAATGCTATGTGGTTATAATTGAATAATCAAACTCAATTGATAGCAACATTCACAGCATGTGATACAACTCCTCATGCTCGTGGTAATCCTTGCGTTCGGCCAAAGTTCTTATGTGAGTCCTAGAAATATGTACCATTAGTTTCATAAATTTATAGCACATATTATTCTTGGGATAATACTTAACAATTATGTAAGTTTCCCACGTGTCTTCAAGGGACAGTGTTACAATGGTATAGTGGTTTGAGTGTAGCGACTCGTGAGGATTGGAGCATTCTCCTAAATGTCTTTGTGTATTTAAACATGTTGATGATTGTAATGATACCTTTCAATAATGACATCATTTTTGTTAAAGGCCATATGAGTCAGTGATGCAATTTGGTGTTTGATTTTTGTTTCATGCCAAATATGTAAAAAAGGATCAAGTTAAGAATGTTGTGGCTAACACTTTGTAAAGATCTTGTAAAATTTGTATATACACTTACTTTAACCACTTTAAACAATACCTTTCACTTGGCATAATGTTATGAAATGTCACTTTTTCCACTTCTCATTACACGTACTTCAACTCCACTTCCTATAAAAGATAGTTATGCTCCACTTCTTAAAAAAAAAAATTATATTCTAATGAAGGTGGATGTTATTGCCGCCCAAGTTCAAAGACAAGGACGAAAACATAGTTATAACTGTGATGTCTATTGTTGGGTATGTGATAAAAGTAGTTACATTTATTAGTATTGTTGATATTTTCCAAAGTGGTGACCTTCATTTCCTAGGTGAAGACTTTAGTATCAACAATATCTTGTTAATGTTATTATAGATAAACATTAAGATACTTATGAGAAATAACAAGTCGCATGAGTAAAGTCAGAACATCCACAGCACCAAGAATTTCTTCAATCAAATGTCAAAGCAGAGCTTCACATCCTAGAATCTGATGATCACTGCCTACTTGCACGACAGCCAAGTGAAATCTGCCAAGAGCCTCTTCAATCAAACCCCACCCAAGAACCCCCTCCTCTACAACGTGATGCTCACAACCTACGCCCATAACGGGTGCCACGCCCTCGCGATCGAGCTCTTCACCTTGATGCTGTGTAGAGATCTCATCTCGTACAATGCAATGCTCTCTGCGCTCGTGAACTCTAGCCCTATCGATCAAACCAAAGATTTCTTCGATCTAATTCCCGAGAAGATCGTTGCATGGAATACGATGCTCACAACATATGCCGAAAATGGGCATCTGGAAATGGCGATTTCCATGTTCGATTCGATGAGCCATCACGATATCGTGTCCTACACTGCCATGGTCACTGCGTATGGATCGAGCGGCCAGATAGAACACGCAAGAATACTGTTTGCCTCGTCACTCCAGAAAGACGTGGTTTTATCAACTGCCATGCTCGCAGCATATGCCCATTTAGGGTTCTTGGCAGAGGCTAGCACAATTTTCGAATCTATGCGAGAATGCAGCATAATCACGTGGAATTATATGCTAGATGCTCACGAATTGAGCAGAAAAATCGAAAAAACGCAGTTTATTTTCGATTTGATGCCAGTAAGAGATACAGTGTCTTGGATTTTGATACTCAACGCATATGCCCGGCTTGGGCATCTGGAGAAAGCGATTTCGTTCTTCGCGACAATGCCAATGCCACACGCAGTCCCGGATCGCGTCGTGCCCTGGAACACGATGCTCGCAGCGCACGGAACCAGCGGCCAGGACGCCGAGAATCTCCTGTGGGCCGCGAATTTGCAAGGTGTGGCCCCGGATGCCGGCTGGAGCTACTTCGTGTCGATGCGCAGCGATTACTCGATCCAGCCGGAGAAGCTCCACTTTGGGTGCATGGTGGCCATCCTGGCTCGAGCCGGGAACTTCGATTTCGCCCGGGATCTCCTCGACAACATGCCATTCGTTCCAGGGATCGAGCAATTGAGCTGCCTGACACTGTTCTAGAGCCAAACAACTTAGATTTCGTCCAGGAACTTCCAGAGATCGAGCAATTGGGCTAAGACGCAATTGCCCATCTCGAGATCAATTGGAAGAAACAAAGATCCTCCTCCACGTGCCATATATCATGTGTCGAAGGGCACCAAATTATAAAACTATATCCGTGATCCTATCAAGCATCCCTCAAGCTCCCATATATAATATGTATGGTCCTTTCAGAGGGCTGTCTCTTCGCTCTTCGGAGCACTGGCCGCCTCGACTGTCTCCTGGACAGCATCCACAGCCTTGTCTTGGACGCTGCTTTTCCCCTCCGCGGCCTTGAGCTCTCCCGCCGCGGCCTCTGTCTTCTCTGGAGCATCTTCGGTCAAGCACTTCCCAAACGGCTTGCCTTTGCGAATGTCCACGACAACGTTGGGGTTGGCAGTGTCCATACCCCCACCACCACCTTCCTTCTTAGCTCCTACTCCTCCCATTTGCTGCATCGCGGCGTCTGGAAGCTCCGAGTAGCTTGGAACTTCGCCGCTGGTCTTCTTTGCCTCCTTCTTTGGCTCCTCCGTGCCTGATCCATGGCCTGGTTGTTCCGTCTTTGGCTTCTCGCTCTCCTTGCCTCCGCTGAGAAAGGATCCTGCCTGCTTATCCATGGAGGAAAAAAAAACGAAATGTGAGTAGACAAAGAGAAGAACCGAGAAGAAGAACCGAGAAAGTCTAAACTGTCGATGGCACTTCTCCAGTGGATAGTTTTATAGAGTCCGGGAAAACGGGACAAATTTTTTACGCGTTGGGGCCCAAACGGGATCACTATCCTCCGGTGAAGAAAGATGGACGAGGTAAATGTGAGACACAGAAAAAAAGATATATACAAAACTGCCCCACCCACAAGTGCCATCCAGACTCCGATTTGGATGCACCACCAAAGATTTTTATCAAGCCGCTGTGGTTTGATTTGTCACAGTGACTTACAAAACACATCGGAGAACTATAATACAAAGCTTTCGAGCCTTATTTCGTGCTGCTACCTTGTCTGCCAAAGAAAAGAAGAGTTTAGCATAAAAGAAATGGAAAAACTTGTCATACCAGGTAATGAATTGTCTCGCTCCAGTTAAGAACTCTGTATCTGCAAAGAGAGAGAAGTCAACCAGGGAATCGTGAATCAAAAACATGTCCTTCAGCCACACCAATTCCTCATATGACTGGTCCGTATTCTAGTTACACGAGCACTGCTCCAACCGGTTCCAAGACCGGGAGCAACGACGTGCAACGTCAACGGGCAGCGCAGTGAGATTACTAAATTATGCATCATAGGACCGAACCACCAGAAGGAAAAAAAGTAAAGCGAACTTACATTGAGAGCTTAGAAGTTTAAGATGATCTTCTCTTGTGGAACCCCTTCGGCCGAGAGTAGATCAGTCACATCCTGCAATAAAAATATCACAGTGAAGGTAGAGCAAAGGGAAACAAAAAATCTCTACCTTGACCATGCCCTTGTGGCCACAAAGAAAAGTAACAACTTGAGAGGAATCTGGAATACTTATGTTCTTCGAAAAGGCTGCATAACAGTGACCATAAAAATACCTGGACATATCCTGATTCGCCCATCCAGCTCCCAAGGCTGCGAGAGCACGGGAATTATGCTCACGCCGTGTCCTATCGTAGAGATAAGTGAGAATCGACAACCGAAAAAGAAACAAAAGAAGAGTACCCGATATGCCATTCTCTCAAGGCCCTCACATCGCTCCTCCTGTTCGCGTCAGTTCCGGCCTCTATAAGTGATCGAATCGAACTGTCCTGAAAAAAAAAAGAACCATACGTAAACCATCCCAAAAGATAGCGAACTACAAGTAAGAAAAACGAGTGGAAAGAAGGAAACATCATGTCTACGTAAGAGATGAAAGAACGAGAGTGGAAAGAAGAAAAAAAATGCCCTACGTAAGAACAAAAAAAGAAACGAGAAAAAATCATGTCTACCATAGCAAGAACAAAAAAAAAAAAAAAAATCACGTTGAGTTCCTTGTCAAGGACGTGGAGGGCACTACCTCGGCTGTGCTGTGCGATCTGGCCAAGGGAGATAAGGTGGATTTAAGCCAAGTGATGGGCAAAGGTTTCGATATCGACCAGCTCTACCCTCCAGAGAAGTTCCAGAGGCCAGGAACCCTAAATTCCCAAATTTTGGGAGGCCTTTAAACATGCCATTGTTGGCCATTTGCAACACTTACGGATTCTCAAGCTTGGAGATCTTCTTTGGGCATAGAATCGAACACTTATCTAAAGTAAAGAAGCATATCTTGTGAGCAGATATGTCATTTTTTTTTTCTGACAAGATTCTTTCATGAAATTAGAACATTCTTCTAGCTTCCAAATGCCGCATTTTCATTAGCCCATGTTGACTTTTGCGTTGACATGGTTGACTTTGCATTCACTTACATTGAAAAAGTGGCTCTGGCTCCTAAGAGATTCTTTCTTCTTGCGATGCTCCACAGCGATGGCGTTTCAACCACCACCACCACCAGCAGGAGCTGGAAAGTGGCAAAGAAATCGACGAAGGGAATCGCCACACTCTTGGCGGCGCTCAAGGAGGCAAGCAAGGCCAGGGATGCCAAGAGGGGGCGGGAGCTCCACTCCGACGCCATAGCCAGTGGAGTTGCGGGCGATATCTTCGTGGGCAGCAGCCTGGTGGACATGTACTGCAACTGCGGCCTCATGGGTGAAGCGCGAGAGGTATTTGACGCCATGCCTAGCCATGACATTGTCGTTACGCAGAGACGACGATGGATTGGCGGCGCTCGCCCTCTTCTCGCCGATGCGCGACGAGGCTGCTCTCCAAACTCGAGAACTTTTGTTGCTGCGGCCAAGGCATGCTCTAGCATTGCCACGGCTGAGAAGGAAGAAGAAGTTCCAAGAGGTAGCGAAGTATGCTCGACTTCCAAGATGGGATCGCTGGAGATTGGAATGGCGATCAACTCGCAGGCCCTGGAGAGGAGGTGCGGATCCATTTTCGTGGAGAGCTGCCTCGTCGATATGTATGCCAAGTGTGGCGGCATGGACGACGCTCGACGCGTTTTCGAGAGCATGGAGAGGAGGAATATGGTGGCCTGGACGTCGCTCATGCTGGGCTATGCCGAGAGTGGCGATGGCCAAGCTGCGCTCGAGCTCTTCCAGGTGATGGAACGCGAGAATTGCCCGCGTGACGCTCGGACTTTCGTTGCCGCGGTGAAGGCTTGCTCGAGCCTGGCTATGGCGGCGAAGGAAGGATCATCTAGCGCGAGAGCCATGAGAGCTCTTGAGACCGGCATGTGTTCATCGCGAAGCTCGCAAGAGTGGATTCGAGTCGGATGCTTTCGTGGCTTGCGAACTTGTGGATTTGTATGCGAAGTGTGGGAGTATGGAGGATGCGAGGAGGATCTTCGAGCGCTTCGCCAGCCACGACGTTGTCTCGTGGACGGCGTTGATACTCGGCTATGGTGACAATGGCGAGAACGAGGTGGCGGTGGAGCTCTTCTTGCGCATGGTTCACCAGGGATACCATGCAAACGCTCGGACTTTCGTGGCAGTGATCAAGGCTTGTAGCAGCCTTGCCGAGGAGGAGCAAGGCGGAAGTGTGATAAAGTTTCGCGCTCTCGCCACTGGAATGGCGATCCATCGCCTCGCAGCTGCGAACGGTGGCTGCGATACTAGGGACGTTTTCGTGGGGAACACTTTGATCGACATGTATGCGAAGTGTGGAACTTTGGTGGATTCCCGGCGAGTTTTCGATGCGATGCTTACACGGGATGGTCTCGTACAACGCGATCATGCTGGGCTATGCCGAGAATGATGGCGAGGCTATGGCGCTCGAGCTACTCGCGGCCATGCACAGGGAAGAACCGCGCGTTGTGGCAAATAGCTTGAGCTACCTTGCTGCTGTGAAGGCTTGCAATCACTTGGCATCGCGAGAAGAAGCCAGGGACTTCGATGGAAGAGCTGTGAAGATCGAGAGCCTGGAGAAAGGCATGGCTGTTCATGCTCGAGCCACGGAAGCCCGGTGTGATCGAGATCTTTTAGTGGCGAGCAGCCTGATCGATATGTACTCGCGAGCTGGAAGCATGGAGGATTCGCACAGGGCCTTTGATCAAATGGAGAGCCACGATGTAGTGTCATGGACGGGGCTCGTCTCCGGCTACGCCGAGAATGGCGATGGCGAGGGCGCCCTGGCGGTGTTCTTCGCGATGGTGGACGAGGGAGTGGAGCCCGACTCGTGGACGCTCGCGGCGGCGCTCAAGGCGTGCGGATCCATCGCCTCGAGCAAAGCTGGGCGACGTCTCCATGGCGAGATTTGCCGGCATGGACTGGAGGGCGATACCATCGTGGTCACCGGTTTGATCGACTTCTATGGGAAGTGTGCTACCATGGCCGACGCTCAGCGTGTCTTTGAGGGTTCCATGGTTGCCGCGCTGGACGAGGTTGCATGGACGGCTTTAGTGTCCGGCTATGCCGCCAGGGTGACGTGAAGTTCGTGTTTGTGACGTTCCAGGCGATGGTGGACACTGGCGTGAGGCCGGGTGGTGTGACCCTGCTGTGTGTGCTAGCCGCGTGTAGCCATGCCGGGCTTGTGGAGCGAGGGAAACGATTGTTTGGATCGATGAGAGAGAAGTATGGGATTGATCCTGGGCGAGAGCACTACCACTGCGTGATTGATATGCTGGGGCGAGCAAACCATCTGGAGGAGGCGCTGGAGATTGTGAGATCGATGCCTTTCCAAGCGGGTGTCGTGACCTGGATGACGATCTTGAGCGCTTGTAGGAAGTGGAAGAACACGAGAGTTGGAAGTGAAGCATTTGATGCGTTGGTTGGAATGGATGTGAGGGTGAAATCGTCAGCTTATCATGTTAATGAGACCTAAAATCATCATACTTCTTTATTTAAAAGTGCTATTGGCATCGGGGGACAGATATTCTCTTACCCTTGGATTTGTCAAATTGATGGTTCAGATGTAATACTTTCTTAAAAACAGTTATTATGGCTTTTTGTATCTGAGGGTTTCATATTTGTACTGATTGTGGTGGTTTGGATGTGATCAATTCTTGCACCCTTATGGATTGACACTGTAACAACTAGACAGGTGCATGCTCTCTCTCGCATGCTCTCTCTCTCTCTCTCTCTCTCTCTCTCTCTCCTATCAATCTTCCATGGCGCTGGGGATGGTGATGAGCATCGCACCAAGAGATCCTGGTGCCACAAGAACCTGGCATCGGCACACAGGCGGCTGGCGATGGTGGCGCTCCCCCACCATGATTGCTACAGTGAGGACGTCATCGCACCAAGAGATCCTGGTGCCACAAGAACCTGGCATCGGCACACAGGCGGCTGGCGATTGTGGCACTCCCCCACCATGATTGCTACAGTGAGGACGTCACAAGCTTCCATTTATCCAGCTCTGTGAGGGATTCCCTCGATGCCATCTCCTACGGATTGGGGATCCAGTCCAAAGATTGGATCACGGGGATCAAGCTAGCAGTGCTGGATTTTGCCGCCATCGCGGCCAGCAATCCAGTTCTCGCACCCTTATGGATTGACATTGTAATCGACTGGACAGGTGCGTGCTCTCTATCTCTCTCTCTCTCTGAGCGCACGCACATGCATGCACACACACGTGCAATTCTGATGGTATACTTGTTTGCTACAACTCATATTATACCAATACACTGATTGTTAGTTTTTGCTTTTGTTGTAAGTTCAAAACTCATATTGTGTCAGATATCTATTAAGGAGCCTATTATGGAAGTATGCTGCAGAAAATCGGTAGGAGGCTTTCATGTCTCTGATTATCTAAAGTGCTTTTTGTGCCTTCAATATCTGTAAGTCCATAGCGATTTGATTGAATATAGCATAACTACCATATGTGGTTTTTGAAAAACAGAGAATAGCTGCATTACAGTCGACTATACTGCAGAGCTAAAACTATTTTAGGTAAGCAGTTCGGTGTGTCAATGTTGTAGCAATTTATTTCATCAGTTATAATCTCCCTAGGCAATAGTGAAAATGAGATGGTGGCAGCTGCCATGGATACTGCCACCTGAAAAAGAGCAGCCTGGGGAGTATGAACTGGCAGCTTTGAGAGAAAAGCAGGGCTATCAGCTTCAAGAAATGGCAGCAGCAAAACTATCCTCAAAGCTTATTGATTTAGAAAATGAGGCGGAATACTTGAAGAACCTTTTTCGGGATCTAGACTGATTGAGGTAATATATGTAAAGCTAACGGAGAAAGCATTAAGGTGTTAAAAGATAGTGAATAGTGGTGACATTCTAGCATCACAGAAGTACCCTCTGCTCGAAAAGGCAGAAAGCCTTTTATTCAAGGAACAGTTGTGTATATCAAGTTTCCTTTTTGTCAGCTGTTGTGTGCTTGGCATTGGCAATTGAAGCGAAAAAGAAAGCAAAGATTTTTTAAAACAACAGAACCACTGGCAGAAAACCCAAAAAATCGGGATCGTGCACTTGATAGACACATTCGAGCAAGGCAAAGATGTTAAGAAGAATCCCTGCAGAGAGAGCACAAGCAACAAATGGAAGAAGAGTATCGCTTGTACATCTTTTACATTTTTTTCTTTCTAAATATTTACAACTCTTTCTCATCATAGGAAAACCTGGAGAAGTATCTAGAGGAGTTGAAGGCCAGGCATTGTGAAGTTTCAACCAAGGTAGACCAAAGAAAACAGCAGAAAGTTTGCACAACCAACGGCCATGGTACTGTAGTTGCAGACTCACGGTCAAAAGTGAAAGGCTGACTGCCGTGTAGAGAGAACAAATGAAACTCTTAATGCAAGCAACCTTTGGACGAAGATACTTTTGGCATGAATGATGAGGACTGGCATATGTACAAGCAAATTGACAGAGACTACAAAGAAGAAGTAGAAGAAGATGTAGATGAAGATGAAGTAGAACTCAGTCGTCTAACCTCGAAACTCAAGGTATATCACTTTCGTCACTACTTTTCTTTTCCCTTTCTAACTGCTTTACTTCCAGGAAATTGATCTTTCATATACTTCAGTGCCACCACCCGGATTGCAGGAAATAGTGCCAGAGTTTGTAATATAACGGCCTCTTACTGAGAAGGACTACCAAATAGTTCTTGGTGTGGAACGATTCAGAGATATTCTTCCAGCCTGTAGATCAGGCAGAAGTGGGAGAAATGGCATCCATTGCCATGAGGAGAGTGCCAAACTAACTCGTCAGCCGAGTTATGGATGGGATGATTCTACTCACAGGTGGAAACTGCGAGTTTGATGGATTTAACAAGAGGATGTTCTTGGAGAGATTGATCACTGGGCTCGGTTATCAGAGTGGTGTGAGCAGCAGACCCGTGGTATGATGAGGAATAAGAACTTAAGCTGATACAAAACAAGCTGCACTCTGTGTTTGCATCAGGTAGTTTCTTTAGTTTTTTTTTCAGAGGTTTACATAGCAGATTTAAAAGATGAGTCACTATTTTAGTGGTTCATGGCATTGATTTCAGTAATGTAGTGTTCATTCCAACTGTTAACATTCGTAAAGACAATTTCCAACAAGCCAAAATTGATTCTAATGCATCCAATGGTATATAGTATAAGAAAAAATTGATAAACAGGACATGTACATGAAATTTGGAAACTTGGTGGATTCTCAGCCAGCTTTGACAAGATGGCTTGCCACAGTGCTGTGTCATAGATGTCACTGATGCTGGGATTGGCAAGGAGGTGGTTCTGGAGTTGTTTGTTTGTGATGGTTTTGCCATAAGCCTCTCCATGGTGCTTAAGTTGTGTGGGAGCCTAGTGGATGTGTGGCTTAGAGAAGGAGAGGGTCACTCCCAGGCGTGTAGAAAACAATGCTGCCGTGTCAAACTCAGTAAAAGTTTTTGGAATCTGACTTTGTTCTTATGTCAGGATTTCAGGATAAATACAACACAAAGAATAGGCCTTGGCCTTGCTTTAGAGGGCTTCACTAATAAGATCTACGAGGCATAGAACATAGTTAAATTCATCACATTTGTTCCTGTTATTTTCAACTGCAAATGTGTTGTCCCATCAAGCCAGATGACTACTCAGATTTTTCTCAGATAATTCAAATTCTCTGCTTGAGAAAGTTGTGATCACAACAAACAAGTACTTCCAGTCATCTGGATTGCTGTTAAGATTGGATTGTGAGTTAAAAGCTTTTGGATAGATTTCTTTCACCATTTTTTGCCGGTCTACACAACTTTAGTCACATGTAAGTTCATTGGCTACCTCATTGTCAATGCCACTTTGTTTCAGTGTGCCAGATAATACTAAGATATATGTGAAACATCAACTACTCATGCAACTTAGGGAAGGTTAGTATGACACATGTCTTGGAGCTTCCTCTTCATAGTGGCCTCCCATGCCTCACTTCCATCATCAATAGTACGTGATGAGTGAGAATGAACGAAATGCCTTTAAAAGAATTAAAGAATAGACAGATTTACATAACATATAATATGTATAAGATGAGCATCTCTAGCAAATTTCTCCAGTTGTACCTTGAAGCATTGTTCAAAAAAATGCAAAGAGTAAGACAAGCATCCAGATGACCATTGTGTTTGTGGTGCCATATAACAAGAGGATCTACCTCCGGAACTAAGTGACTTGTGCAACCTTTTTGAGCCACCCAACTTCGACAACGCTTGGGCCATAAAAATCCTCTTCTAATGTTTTTCTGATCAGACAAGTTGCATCAAAGAACTTCTTAATTTCATGATTGGAGTTTAGACTATGACCCTTTACAGGAGTAGTGACAACAGAAGTAAATGAAGTTTTTTTTTCTAGATTCTTGAGAGTCTAGAGCTGGTTGCCAGAATCTAGTAATTGAACTTATAGATGTATACTCTTTCTCTTGGTTTTGAAGGTATTCTTAATCAACTTAGTTCAAAGACTTATGAAGAGCTCATTGAATTGCTAAAAGACTTACTAGTGGTGGGGAGAATGCAAAGAGAAACTCTCCCATTCTTTTCTGACAAATTGTCAACTACCAACCTTAGAAAAGGATAATCCCAGGATCTTTGCCAATAATTTCTTCCCCTCTTTGACACGGCTAAAGTGGATGCAAGTGCTGAAGCTGCATTTTGCACCTGCAAAGTTTCTATGACCAACTTGTAGCATTAAAAGCTGTAAATGACTATTCAATTCCACTCCTTTAACATGGCTCCCTCTTTTCTTTTTTTTTTAAAAACAAAAAGAAAAGGCTACCTAAGACGCCACCAAGTCTCATTACTAGGAGAACCACCAAGTCTCATTATAGGGAAAATCATCATAAGTCATTGTTCTATTTTTTTTTTTAAATGTGTTGTTCTAACCCAAAGTATGTATGATTACTTGCGAAATACAAAAGAGTCCCTTTTGCCACCGGTCCGAGTCATGAAAATTTCCCCATGCTATGCTTTAAGTTCATATTGCATTAGTCTAGGCCTTGGATGATCTGGATCGCGTGTGCTTCGTGCCACTTGCAGCCGAACTCTTGCAGCCAATTGTTGATTTCCAAAGTCCAATCCAGATCTTGTGCTCGTTGTTTATTAATCAGGGCTTTTTATTTACCAACAAAAAACCAAAAAACTGGCTGGGCATAGTTTCATTGAGCACGAAAATAAGTTTCTTATGTCCTTGATGTGAAATGCTTCTTAAGACTTAAGCTGCATTTACATTTCTGACCATTTTGAGCTGGAAAGCATGCATGCTTCTATATGTCAAGCAAAGCGATAAAAGGATGTTCAAGCATTTGCAGGTATTTTGTGATTAATGTCTGTTTTCATCTCCTAGTTTCACCCTTCCACAGGTGCCAATGTGGAGCGATCTCGAACAGAAAAAAGCTTCCAAGCAGACATAAATCGATTTGCTGCATTGACTGATCACCTTTCTTCCTTAGGAACAATGACACTTGAAACAGAAAACTCATTTTCGAGCAGAAATAATCAGTGATGTGAATAGTAGTTCATCCTGGAGTGTTCGTAACATCTCTGAGAGAATTTTGTTTCGCAATCTAGCAGTTCTCCAAGAGAAGGTTTATAGCCAAGCTTCCCCGCATTGTAGCTGAATCTCAGCCTAGATCTTGGCGAGAGGGCCGCCATGTTTTCCCACACGGTTTTCGAATCGATTTCATGTGACAGTTATTGTCACATGACAAAGGAACAGAAAGAGAGGCAAAACATTGTGTGTTCGTTTCGGGGCATTACAACAGACTCCAATTCCTTGGTCTCATGTTAGGAGATTCTAGTCGGTGACACCATGACCATGCTTTCTCACTCGGTTTTCTCTTTGCTCGTCCTTTCCCTTTCTCTTTGCTGCACATAAGGGTGACAAAAAATAAAGGTCTTTTTTTACACCCTTATTTCTGTTGCAAATTCTGATGGTGGCTGTTTCTAATTATTAAACAGTGTTTCTTACACAAATCACATTTCTTTTTCATTCTCCCATGACTTAAGCTAAGGATCCTTCATTCTAATTGTCATGGAACTACTGATTAATTGATGAGGGTGTAGTTGAGCTCGATATCTCCATATTTTGACCTTGTTGTTAGCTACATCACAAGAGGTTTAGTAAACTATAGAATAAACTTATATAAAAATTTTTTTGGATGGATCAGTATCATAAATTACATTACAATTTTTGGTTTGAGATGGTAATGGATATACCTAGAAAATGCTTGGATATTTTAGAATATTCTATCATCTTATGGTTGTTATTCATTTAGATTAATTTTGTATTTATAATTTATAAACATTTTTTAGTATATTATTTTTTATTCTGTCATCTAATGGTTGATATGCAATAATATTAATCTTGTGTATATAAATTACAAACATGCTTATAATTATAAACTTTATTTGATTATTAAACAAACCAAGCAATGCAACACGTAGCAATTTATTACAAAATTACATCAAAGCTTTCAAGTTGGACCCATCTCTCCTTGGAACTGACAAGAAACACAACACACAAAACTGCAGTTCGAAGCAGCAAGCTGGTGGTGCTCCAAAATCCTTGCAGACTTTGCTGGATTGAAGCATCTGGAGCAGCCCATGCTTCATCTCCTATTGCCAAGATGAAACAAAAGAGCTCTCTCCTTTTCAATGGAAGTGGGGGCTGGCCTGATGCTGTAGAGCAGTTGATATCCCACCGATGGTGGACCATCATCAAGGCTTTTTGTGCGGCTCCTCCGCAGAAAAAGAATTTGTAAGAACAATCTTTTATATTTTTTTTTAATTCACACATTAGCAGATTTACATGGTCCTTATGTAAGAGCAACATTATTTTTATAAATATTTCTTTATCCACTCATGTTCGAGGACCTTTTCGAAAGTAAGCCTCCTTCCGGGATCCAATTCCGTCATACCTTGGATAAGTTGCCTTGCAGAAAGGGATGGAATGCTATCCCAATCCATAGAATTGTGATGGAGGTTCCTTAAAGTTCGATCTCTCTTGCGTGCATTATTAAATACCACCTCCACATCCATATTTGGGAACGGACAAGCTGCCGTGAGGCAAGTGTAAAGCAGCATCCCTAAGCCCCACACATCGCTGGCTGTGATATAGCGCCCATCGAGCATCGCTTCGGGGGACATATAATCCCACGTCCCAGCCCCATGCTCGTTCCACGGATCCTCCATCCAGCAAGCCATCCCAAAGTCGGACACCTTTGGGACATAGAACTTCCCAGGCCACGGGTACTTCAGCAAAACATTCGCGGGCTTCAGGTCGCAGTGGATGATCTCGTTGTCATGAACCCTCTTTAGCGTCTTGGCGAGAGCTATGACAATCTTTGCAGATTCTTCCTCATCAAGCTGCCCCTTGTACTTGATCCGGTCCTGAAGGCTGCAATTGCACAGCTCAAGAACAAGGTGGTACACCTCCCTGTACTGATTGGGCTCTTCTCGTATGATGTGCTCGAAGTGGACGAGCCCCTGTTCATCCAAACCCTTGAGTGACACCTCTAGCATAGCCATCACTCGAGCTTCAAACAGCCCATCGGGGCCATGAACTGTCTTGATCGCAAAAACCTTTCCATCACTCCTTCGGAATGCCTTGTACACCATCGCTTGCCCTCCACCCCCAATCGACTTCTCTAGTCTATATTTCTCTATGAGCACTGGGTATTTGTCACAGAGTTTTTCATCCAGGACCGTGTGGTACTCCATCCCTTGCCTAGGTTTCTTGAGCGCATAGTTCTCCTGCTCGCACTCGCACTTAACCATCTCGAAAGAGCTCTAGGGCTTGTTTGTAAAGGCAGAATCTTAGTTTATGCATCTTTTATTTTAAAGGTATCATGTTTAAGTGAACATTTCCTGGAATGCCAAGTGTGGAAGCATGAGAGACTCTCGGCGATGGGATTGAGAACCACGACGTTGTCTCCTGGACGGTATTGGTTCTGGGATACGCTCGAAGATTTGGCTCTGGAGCTCTTCTTGGAGATGATTGCTCGAGTTTTCTCGCGGCTATCAAAGCTTGCTCTAGTCTGGCTGCGCGAGAGGAGATTGATGCGTCGTTGGCTGTGAAGATCAAGAGCTTGGAACGAGCTTTGGCGATTCACTCTCACGCATCAAGCTCTCACGGCTTCAAGTTGGAGGCGAGGAGACATACACTTGGCAAACGCGATGGTGGACTTGTATGGCAAGTGTGAAAGTCTAGAAGATGCTCGCAGGGTGTTTGATTCGATGGAGCAGCACGACATCGTTTCCTGGACATCGATCATCACAGGCTATGCTCACGAGAGCCAAGATGGAGACGAAGCTTTCCTTCTCTTCTCTTCCATGCAAGAACAAGGATTTAAACCCGATCGTTTAGCTTGTCTCGCCGCTATCAAGGCTTGTAGCGTAATCACGGAGAAGAAAATGGAATTTAGACGTAGAATCTCTCGAGAAAGCAATGAAAATCCACTCGTGGATCTCGCAGCTTGGCCTGGAGAGAGATCCAGCAGTCTGGTTGATATGTATGCCAAGTGTGGAAGCTTGATCATGGACGCTCGCAGGGTATTTGATAAGATCTTAGATCGCGACATAGTCTCGTGGAACTCTTTCCTGTTTGGATGTGTTTACATTGGCGAGGACGAGCTTGCGTTGGAATGCTATGCAGCCCTTTGCTCCAAACTCTCAAACCTTTCTTGCGTTGTTGCCAGTTTGCAGGAACCTGGGAGATTTGAAGCTCGGGAAGCTCTTCCACGGACAGATTCTCCGGCAGGGACTGGAAGGGAGTTCTGTGGGGATTTCCCTGCTTGTGTTGCGGACCACATAGAAATCGCTTCCTGCTTCCTGATGTTGTCAATCTTTCCATCACTTTCTTTTCTCCAGGTCCGAATCACAGCGAAAAGTGGAGCTACCTCTCTGATACAATGGCGGCAATCGATGGTGGCTTTGCGAAACCTTTGTGGCAAAAATCCAATGTGAGAGCTTGGCGAGAGCTTGTTGACAACACCAAGCTTGCTCTCGAGCTTGGTGACTGTGTAAACTCGCTGGTAGCAGCAAAACCAAGGCTCTCAAAACTCCAACAGGGATCACGCCTTCAAAGATTGTTTGGCGCGAATCCTCAAATATACATCAAAGTTTTTTCTCAAGTGCATCTTTTCCTACTCGCATGCTCCGAAATGCTTGGAACCCAGCGATGGCGTCTCCTCGAGCGCCATGTCCTGCAATCAAAGTATTCCATGCCAAAGTGTTGGGAGACGCAATGGAGCTCTCAAACACAAGCTCGGCGACCTCGACGCTCCCGCATTTACAGTAGAAGTCGAGACTACATATCACCTAGTCTGCAGTGAAGGAAAAAGAGAAAGATCTCATACCTATGTGCAAGATCTAGCAATTCCAACTTGTCCACAAATCATACAGTTGCATCCTATCACAACATTATGTCCAATCTACATGCAAAGAAGCCAAGAGTAAGCAGTGCTTAATAAAAGAAAAAATTTCTCAAACGTGAACCAAGTCGTCAAGCTTCACCTTATCCCAGATGACTGTATCACACCAGCTGATGATTAGTCCAGGGCAAATGAGACTTCAGAAGAAGAACGAGCCACTTTTGTTACCTCTCAGGGTCGAGGATGAATTGGCACTCACTGCTTCCAATCTTTATCAGCAATTCCTAAGAAAAAAACATTGTTTATTATTTATAATAAATCAGTGCTCCGAAAATTTTGTATTTTAACCCCACACTTTTATTTTTCCCACTTTTCCTAAACAAGATATTGTTTCAGAATGTTTATAAATTCTAAATATGTTATAGTTCGCTAGATTGACGGTTTGCTCAAAAGTAATTTGTATGATCAATTATCTTTTCTATTTTTAATTTTATCTTTACTCTCCTGTTCATTGTTACGATCAAAACTCTTGGTCATAGTTTCACATCTACGTGTACAAAAAAAGCTGGACGCTACTTGCGAGGAAATGCTTGGTCGTCGACTTGAGGCAGGAGACCAAGCAGCTCAAGGCACAGTTGAGTTAGTTTCTTTCATTTCTTCAGATGTACAGTATTTCTAGAGGATGCTCGGAGCGTCTTCGTGGAGATAGAGCAGCCGAACAAGGTTGCATCATATCTAGAGTTGCGGATTTCGACTAATGCTCTGGCTAGATGCGGAAATGGCCTTAATTCCGGTTGAGTTGGACCGTTTGCGGACCTCATTTCAGCTGAATTCGTTAGGGTTTGGTTGCGTGATCATGAATGAAAAGTAGATTTGGAAGCGCGAGATTTCCCTCTGGATCCAGGAATTTTGAGAGTCAGGCCGAAATGGAGAAGATTTGGTGTCTCGGCTGCATTTTCTTGCGCCGGCATCTCATTCCACGCGACGTTGCATCACATCTTGAGCATCGAAGTAGTCAGTAAACTCAAGATCCCTGATGTATCATTCGAGATAAGATTTTGTTTATAAACGGTTCCCAAGATCCTTGGTGTCATACCTCCAAGCAAACTTCTTCGCTTAATGGTAAGAGAGCCATCATAAGCTATGTCGTCTCAAATCTGCAATTGCAGAGCCCGCATATGTGACAAAATGTCAAAACTGCGCTCATGGAGTTGATGTGTGAGGCTGTCTGCAGAGTATCGGAGTAAACCCATGGATTTCGTTTAATCAAGACGATGGCTGAGGGGCACTCTTCCTTGTGGCTCTGAGGATGGCACTGGGACCTCTGTTGCCTAGGCTGCATCCAAACTCTCCCTAACTTTCGAAGTGGTGAACAAAAGTTTTTGGGTGAGAACATGATGGAGAGTGTGGTAAGTTGAGGAGGAAAGACTAAGAAATCATGCAAAAGATTGGAAGGAAGAAGAGGAGAGAGGGAAGAGAACAAAGCACCTCTCTCTATGTGATTTTTAGGGCTGTGGAGTCCCAAAGGACTTTAAACATGATAACAGGGATGGAGCTCAGCATGGATGGCTTGAACTCAATGGACTTGGACACTCACTATCACTAGCTAAGTTTTGTGGAGCATTATTGTAGCATTCCCATACCTTTTTAGCATTTAATTTTTACTATTGATTTTTGGTTTGCTTAAGCAAATCTGTAAGTCTAGAATATGAGGATATTCTACCATTTAAAAGTTGTTATTCATTGTTTATAATTTATAAAACTTCTTAAGCACTTTCTAGTATATTCGTTTTTATTTTACCATCTAATGGTTGATATGCAATAAAATTTATATTGTGTTTATAAATTATAAACATATTTATAATTATAAATTTTTATTTGATTAATTGGATTAATAAGTAAGAATAACATTACTATTGAGCAAACCAAACATTGCTATGACTGAAAGCTCACCATGCCTTTTCCCTCCTCTAAGGAGAATAATCTCCCCAACTTAGAGACTTATTAGACCACTTGTGGTGGTTCTCTCCCTTTATTTAGTTTAATTTTTGTTAGACCCATTAAAGACACCTTTTCTATCTCTGCAATGCGTAACTGATTTTTACTATTTTATATAAAAACACAATAAAATATCCCTCAAACCATTTTACATAATTATTAGAGGCAGTAAATTGCATTTGTGAGGTTCAAGTGTACAATTACGATGCCATATACTAATATTAGAGTCGTGGGATTTTGATAATTATTAGATTAGTTTTAATATTCATTTCTATATATAAACTAGGGTTTTGGGCTAATTGATATACATATTTCTGTTTTCCATTTTTATATTTTATGCATGGTGGAGGTGAAGTGTAGTTTTAATTATCCCTATGAAGTGTTTGGATTTAGTATTTTAGTTTGATCTAACTTTTATATAGTTTAAATTTTCTTTTCTTTCTAGCTTTTCCAATTTCTTCTTTGTTGCTTTTCCTTTATATTCATCTTTATGGCAGAGCTTTCTCTTTTAACTTTGGAGCAGTAGTTGGTGCAATTACTTGATATTATGTGATTATAATTGAATAATCAAACTCAATTAATGGCAACATTCACAGCATGTGATAGAACTCCTCACCAATCCTTGCGTCCGGTTGGAGTTCTTTTGTGGGAGTCCTAGAGATGATGTGTACTATTAGTTTGATCATTTTATAGCATATATTATTTTTGGGATAATGCTCAGTGTTTGCATGAATTTCCCACATGTGTTTAAAGGACAGTGTTATAGTGGTATAGTGGTTTAAGTGCAGTTACTCATGAGGATTAGAGCATTCTCCTAAATGTCTTTATGCATTTGGACATGCCAACAATTATGATGATGCCTTCCAACAATTGCATCATTTTTGTCAAAGGCTGTCTAAGTTAATGATGTAATTTGATGTTTGTTTTTTGCTTCATACCAAATATGTCAGAGAGGATCAAATTAAATGTTGTGGCCAACACTTCATAAAGATCTTGTAAAATTTATGTATACACTTGCTCTAGCCACCCTAGATAATACTCTTCACTTGGCATAATGTTATGAAATGTTATTTTTTCCACTTCTCATTGTATATCCTTTAGTTCCATTTCTTATAAAAGATAGTCATGTTCTAATGGAGGTGGATGTTATTGCCACCTAAGTTCAAGAACAAGGACGAAGACGTAATTATAGCTGTGATGTTTATTGTTGGGCATATGATAAAAGTGGTTACATTTATGAGTATTGTTAATATTTTCAAAAGTGGTGACCTCCATTTCCTGGGTGGAAACTTTAATATCAACAACATCCTATTAGTGTTGTTACAATAGAAAGTCTAAATATTGAGATGCTTATGAGAAACAAAGAGTTGTAAGAGTAAAGTGGGAACATCCACAACACCAAGAATTTCTTCGATTAGAGCTTTGCGTCTTGGAATCTGATGATCACTGCCTACTCGCATGACAGCCAGGTGAAATCTGCCAAGAGCCTCTTCAATCAAACTCCAGCCAAGAACCTCCTCCTCTACAACGCAATGTTCATAACCTATGCCCAAAATGAGTGCCATGCCCTTGCGATTGAGCTCTTTGCCTTGATGCTGTGCAGAGATCTCGTCTCCTACAATGCAATGCTCTCTGCGCTCGCGAAATCTAGCCCTATTGATCAAACCAAAGATTTCTTCGACCTAATTCCCGAGAAGAACATCGTTCCATGGAATGCGATGCTCACAACATATGCCGAGAATGGGCATCTGGAAATGGCGATTTCCATGTTCGATTCGATGAGCCATCATGATATTGTGTCCTACACTGCCATGCTCACTGCGTATGGATCGAGCGGCCAGATAGAACACGCAAGAACAGTGTTTGATTCGTCACCCCAGAAGGACGTTGTTTTATCAACTGCCATGCTCGCAGCATATGCCCATTTAGGGTTCTTGGCAGAGGCTAGCACAATTTTCCAATCTATGCGAGAATGCAGCATAATCACGTGGAATTCTATGTTAGCTGCTCACGCATTGAGCAGCACAATCGAGAAAACGAAGTGGATTTTCGATTTGATGCCGGTAAGAGATACAGTGTCTTGGATTTTGATGTTCAGCGCATATGCCCAGATTAGGCATCTGGAGAAAGCGATTTCCTTCTTCACGACAATGCCAATGCCACACGCAGTCCCAGATCGCGTCGTGCCCTGGAACACGATGCTCGCGGCGCACGGAACCAGCGGCCAGGACGCCGGGGCCGCGAATTTGCAAGGTGTGGCCCCGGATGCCGTCTCCTTTTGGGGGCGTTTGGCCACACCGGGGACGTGGATTCCAGCTGGAGCTACCTTGTGTCGATGCGCAGCGATTACTCGATCCAGCCGGAGAAGCTCCACTTTGGGTGGGCGATCCGGGCTCGAGCTGGGAACTTCGATTTCGCCCGGGATCTCCTCGACAACATGCCATTCGTTCCAGGGATCGAGCAATTGAGCTGCCTGACACTGTTCTAGAGCCAAACAAATTAGATTTCGTCCAGGAACTTCCAGAGATCGAGCAATTGAGCTATGACGCAATCGCCCATCTCGAGATCTAGACTAGACAATTGGTAGAAACAAAGATCTTCCTCCTTGGTCCTTTCAAAGGGCTGTCTCTTCGCTCTTCGGAGCACTGGCCGCCTCGACTCTCTCCTGGACAGCATCCACAGCCTTGTCTTGGACGCTGCTTTTCCCCTTGAGATCCTCGGCCGCGGCCTTGAGCTCTCCCGCCGCGGCCTCTTTCTTCTCTGGAGCAACGTCGGCCTCTCTCGACTGATAAGTGTGGAGATAATCCTCGGCCTTCTTTACGTAGTTCCCAAACGGCGTGCCTTCGAGCTTGCCATAGTGTGAGGCGCCCTGGAGAATGTCCTCGGCAGCGTCGGCGAGCTTGGCAGTGTCCATACCCCCACCACCACCTTCCTTCTTAGCTCCTGCTCCTCCCATTTGCTGCTTCGCGGCGTCTAGAAGAACGTTGGCACTGCCCATAAGCTCCGAGTAGCTTGGAACTTCGCCGCTGGTCTTCTTTGCCTCCCCCGTGCTGCTCTTCTTTGGCTCCTCCGTGCTTGGTCCATGGCCTGCTTCTTCCGTCTTTGGCTTCTCGCTCTCCTTCTCTCCGCTGAGAAAGGATCCTGCCTGCTTCTTGAAGAAATCCATACAGGAAAAAAAGAAATGTGAGCAGACAAAGAGAAGATGAACCGAGAAGAAGAGCCGAGGGTAAACTGTCGATGACACTCTCCAGTGGATATTTTTATAGAGTCCGGGAAAACGAGTAAAGGGACACGATTTTTGACGCGTGGGGGCCCAAACCGGATCACTATCCTCCTGTGAAGAAAGATGGACGAGGTAAATGTGAGACAGAGAAAAAAAGATATATACAAAACTACCCCACCGACAAGTGCCACCAAGACTCCGATTTGGATGCACCACCAAAGATTTTTATCAAGCCGCTGTGGTTTGATTCGTCACAGTGACTTACAAAACACGTCGGAGAACTATAGTACAAAGCTTTCGAGTCTTATTTCGTGCTGCTACCTTGTCTGCCAAAGAAAAGAAGAGTTTAGCATAAAAGAAATGGAAAAACTTGTCATACCCTTGTCATACCAGGTAATGAATTGTCTCGCTCCAGTTAAGAACTCTGTATCTGCAAAGAGAGAGAAGTCAACCAGGGAATCGTGAATCAAAAACATGTCCTTCAGCCACGCCAATTCCTCATATGACTGGTCCGTATTCTAGTTACACGAGCACTGCTCCAACCGGTTGCAAGACCGGGAGCAACGACGTGCAACGTCAACGGGCAGCGCAGTGAGATTACTAAATTATGCATCATAGGACCGAACCACTAGAAGGAAAAAAAGTAAAGTGAACTTACATTGAGAGCTTAGAAGTTTAAGATGATCTTCTCTTGTGGAACCCCTTCGGCCGAAAGTAGATCAGTCACATCCTGCAATAAAAACATCACAGTGAAGGTAGGGCAAAGGGAAACAAAAAATCTCTACCTTGACCATGCCCTTGTGGCCACAAAGAAAAGTAACAACTTGAGAGGAATCTGGAATACTTATGTTCTTCGAAAAGGCTGCCTGTGGCACAATAAAGCGAAGCTAAATGAGAGATGGAGTAAAAGAGAAAACAATGAATCATGTCTACAACAGTGACCATAAACCTGGACATATCCTGATTCGCCCATCCAGCTCCCATCAGGCTGCGAGAGCACGGGAATTATGCTCACGCCGCTTGCCTCCCACTCTTTGAACTTGTCCTATAGTAGAAATAAGTGAGAATCGACAACCGAAAGAGAAACAAAAGAAGAGTACCCGATATGCCATCCTCTCAAGACTCCTGGCTCCATAGTAAAGCCTCACATCGCTCCTCCTGTTCGCGTCAATTCCGGCCTCTATAAGTGATCGAATCGGACTGTCCTGAAAAAAAAAGGAACCATACGTAAACCATCCCAAAAGATAGCGAAAAAACGAGTGGAAAGAAGGAAACATCATGTCTACGCAAACTCCAAGAAATGAAAGAACAAGAGAGTGGAAAGATGCCTACGTACGAACAAAAAAAGATACGAGTGGAAAAACATGTCTACCATCCCAAGAGATAGCGAAGAGCAAGAACAAAAGAAAAAAAGAAAAAAAAGAATGGAAACGGAAGAAAAAAGAAGAAGAAATCACGTTACCTGATACCAGAGCCAGTCGCGAAGAACAGCACAGTCTGGAACTTCTCTGGAGGGTAGAGCTGGTCGATGTCGAAACCTTTGCCCATCACTTGGCTTAAATCCACCTTATCTCCCTTGGCCAGATCGCACAGCACAGCCGAGGTAGTGCCCTCCACGTCCTTGACAAGGAACTCCAAGAATCCCTTGGCGGCGGTGGAAGGCGGGGAAGCGATGGCGAAGAATCCCGGCTTGTGCTCCTCCTTTTTCATCTGGACGAATTGCCCCGGCTTGGAATGCCCCTTCTGGAGCTCGGGATTCCGGCCAATGTCGAGCACGATGTGGAAGAGTTGTTCCGCCGCTGGAGCAATCTCGACCAGCGGCGCCGACGTCCACAGCACTTCCTGCTTCCATTGCGCCCTCACGACGAATCTCACCCGCGCGGAGGATGATTTCTTGGACAGCGTCGAGCAGTACCTTTTGGCGAAACGCAAGCTCGGCGCCGCCGCCGTCGCCGCTGCTATCGCCATGGGATTTCCTAGGGCAAGTACCTGCGGCGCTCGCAATACCGCCATTGCCAGGAACCCTAAATTCCCAAATTTTGGGAGGCCTTTAAAAATGCCCTTGTTGGGCATTTGCAACAAGTACGGATCCTCAATCTTGGAGATCTTCTTTGGGCATAGAATCAAACACTTGTGTAAAGTAAAGAAGCATATCTTGTGCGCAGATATACAGTAATATATTTTTTCCTGACAATATTCTTTCATGAAAATAGAACGTTCTTCTAGCTTCCAAATGCCCAGCTTGGGCATTTTCATTATCCCATGTTGACTTTTGCGTTGACATGGTTGACTTTGCATTCACTTACATTGAAAAAGTGGCTCTGGCTCCTAAGAGATTCTTTCTTCGATGCTCCACAGCGATGGCGTTTCGACCACCACCACCACCAGCAGGAGCTGGAAAGTGGCAAAGAAATCGACGAAGGGAATCGCCACACTCTTGGCGGCGCTCAAGGAGGCAAGCAAGGCCAGGGATGCCAAGAGGGGGCGGGAGCTCCACTCCGACGCCATAGCCAGTGGAGTGGCTGGCGATCTCTTCGTGGGCAGCAGCCTGGTGGACATGTACTCCAACTGCGGCCTCATGGGCGAAGCGCGAGAGGTATTTGACGCCATGCCCAGCCATGACATTGTCTCGTGGAATGCGCTCATGCTCGGTTACGCAGAGAACGGCGATGGATTCGCGGCGCTCGCCCTCTTCTCGCCGATGCGCGACGAGGGCTGCGCTCCAAACTCGAGAACTTTTGTCGCTGCGGCGAAGGCATGCTCTAGCATTGCCACGGCTGAGAAGGAAGAAGAAGTTCCAAGAGGTAGCGAAGTATGCTCGACTTCCAAGATGAGATCGCTGGAGATTGGAATGGCGATCCACTCGCAGGCGCTGGAGAGGAGGTGTGGATCCATTTTCGTGGAGAGCTGCCTCGTCGATATGTATGCCAAGTGTGGCAGCATGGACGACGCTCGGCGCGTTTTCGAAAGGATGGAGAGGAGGAATATGGTGGCCTGGACGTCGCTCATGCTGGGCTATGCCGAGAGTGGCGATGGCCAAGCTGCGCTCGAGCTCTTCCAGGTGATGGAACGCGAGAATTGCCCGCGGGACGCTCGGACTTTCGTTGCCGCGGTGAAGGCTTGCTCGAGCCTGGCTATGGCGTCGAAGGAAGGATCATCTAGCGCGAGAGCCTTGAGAGCTCTTGAGACCGGCATGGCTGTTCATCGCGAAGCTCGCAAGAGTGGATTCGAGTCGGATGCTTTCGTGGTTTGCGGGCTTGTGGATTTGTATGCAAAGTGTGGGAGCATGGAGGACGCGAGGAGGATCTTCGAGCGCTTCTCTAGCCACGACGTTGTCTCGTGGACGGCTTTAATACTCGGCTATGGTGACAATGGCGAAAACGAGGTGGCGGTGAAGCTCTTCTTTCGCATGGTTCGCCAGGGATACCATGCAAACGCTCGGACTTTCGTGGCAGTGATCAAGGCTTGCAGCAGCCTTGCCGAGGAGGAGCAAGGCGGGAATGCGATAAAGTTTCGCGCTCTTGCCACTGGAATGGCGATCCATCGCCTCGCAGCTGCGAACGGTGGCTGCGATTCCAGGGACGTTTTCGTGGGGAACACTTTGATCGACATGTATGCGAAGTGTGGAACTATGGTGGATTCCCGGCGAGTTTTCGATGCGATGCTTACACGGGACGTGGTCTCGTACAACGCGATCATGCTGGGCTATGCCGAGAATGATGGCGAGGCTATGGCGCTCGAGCTACTCGCGGCCATGCACAGGGAAGAACCGGGCGTTGTGGCGAATAGCTTGAGCTACCTTGCTGCTGTGAAGGCTTGCAATCACTTGGCATCCCGAGAAGAAGCCAGGGACTTCGATGGAAGAGCTGTGAAGATCGAGAGCCTGGAGAAAGGCATGGCTGTTCATGCTCGAGCTACGGAAGCCGGGTGTGATCGAGATCTTTTAGTGGCGAGCAGCCTGATCGATATGTACTCGCGAGCTGGAAGCATGGAGGATTCGCACAGGGCCTTCGATCAAATGGAGAGCCACGATGTAGTGTCATGGACGGGGCTCGTCTCCGGCTATGCCGAGAATGGCGATGGCGAGAGCTCCCTGGCGGTGTTCTTCGCGATGGTCGACGAGGGAGTGGAGCCCGACTCGTGGACGCTCGCGGCGGCGCTCAAGGCGTGCGGATCCATCGCCTCGAGCAAAGCTGGGCGACGTCTCCATGGCGAGATTTGCCGGCATGGACTGGAGGGCGATACCATCGTGGTCACCGGTTTGATCGACTTCTATGGGAAGTGTGCTACCATGGCCGACGCTCAGCGTGTCTTTGATGGTTCCGTGGTTGCCGCACGGGACGTGGTTGCATGGACGGCTCTAGTGTCCGGCTATGGCCGCCAAGGTGACGTGAAGTTCGTGTTTGTGACGTTCCAGGCGATGGTGGACTCTGGCGTGAGGCCGGGAGGTGTGACCCTGCTGTGTGTGCTAGCCGCATGTAGCCATGCCGGGCTTGTGGAGCGAGGGAAACGATTGTTTGGATCGATGAGAGAGAAGTATGGAATTGATCCTGGGCGAGAGCACTATCACTGCGTGATTGATATGCTGGGGCGAGCAAACCATCTGGAGGAGGCGCTGGAGATTGTGAGATCGATGCCCTTCCATGCGGGTGTCGTGACCTGGATGACGATCTTGAGCGCTTGTAGGAAGTGGAAGAACACGAGAGTTGGAAGTGAAGCATTTGATGCGTTGGTTGGAATGGATGTGAGGGTGAAATCGTCAGCGTACTTGTTGATGGCTCATGTTTATGAGAGCTAAGATCTTATCGGAGCTCTTTGAATTTATGCCGTTGGATTTAGGGTTCTTGCTAGATCTTTTGCAATGCTGATATTCTCTCCAACTCTATCTATGCTCCATCGTTTAAGATCTCCTCTTGACTTGATAGGTCTCCTAGTCGGATTCAAGGAAATGTGTAGACTGAAGACTGGAAACGATACACGAACCTTAAGATCGGTCTCTGGAAAGAAGCCTGGTATTGTTTAGATTATTCTTCCTAGGATGTCATGTTACAGATGCTGTTTTCTTAAAGGAAAACCCAGACCTCGAAGCCTACACAGTCTAGCCCGAGCTATAGAACTTCCAAAAATCTTGGAAGTAAAGATGCTCGATCGAGAGAGATCTTTGCCGGAGTGTTTGCAGACTCCACTTTCTAAAGGTATTATGTACTTTTTTCTCGTCTTGTCACTACTCACTTTCTTGCGCAGGCTTTCTGCCAAATACAAAAGAGTCCCTTTTGCCACCGCTCCGAGTCATGAGAATTTCCCCACGCTATGCTTTAAGTTCATATTGCATTAGTTTAGGCCTTGGATGTTCTGGATCGCGTGTGCTTCGTGCCACTTGCAGCCGAACTCTTGCAGCCGATTGTTGATTTCCAAAGTCCAATCCAGATCTTGTGCTCGTTGTTTATTAACCAGGGCTTTTTATTTACCAGCAAAAAACCAAAAAACTGGGCATAGTTTCATTGAGCACGAAAAAAAGTTTCTTGTGTCCTTGGTGTGAACTGCTTCTTAAGACTTAAGCCGCGTTTACATTTCTGACCATGGAAGGCATGCATACTTCTATATGTCAGGAAAAGCGATAAAAGGATGCTCAAGCATTTGCAGGTATTTTGTGATTAATGTCTGTTTACATCTCCTAGTTTCACCCTTCCACAGTTGCCAATGTGGAGTGAGTTCGAACAGCAAAAAGCTTCCAAGCAGACACAAAACGATTTGCTGCATTGACTGATCACCTTTCTTCCTGAGGAACAATGACACTTGAAACAGAAAAACTCATTCTCGAGCAGAAATAATCAGTGATGTGAATAGTAGTTCATCCTGGACTGTTGGTAACATCTCTGAGAAAATTTTGTGGCAATCTAGCAGTTCTCCAAGAGAAGGTTTAAGGCCAAGCTTCCCCGCATTGTAGCTGAGTCTCAGCCTAGATCTTGGCAGGAGGGCCGCCATGTTTTCCCACACGGTTTTCGAACGAATTTCATGTGACAGTTATTGTCACATGACAATAACTGTGAACTAAGAACAGAAACAGAGTAAAAGGTGAGAGAACCAAGGTGTGTAGAAACCGGGTGAGGTCACAGTGTCATCGACTAGAATCTTCTAACATGAGACCAAGGAATTGGAGTTTGCTGCAATGTCCCTTCTCTCACTCCTTTCCCTTTCTCTCTGCTCGTCCTTTCCCTTTCTCTTTGCTGAAACACCAACAAATAAAGGTCTGTTTTTACACCCGGTCGCTACTGTGATCGGCAGGCTTCGTGAAAATTCTGATGGTGGATGGTGGCTGTTTCTAATTATTAAACAGTGTTTCTTACATAAATGACATTCTTTTTCATTCTCCCATGGCTTAAGCTGATGATCCTTCGGTGATCATTCTGATTGTGATGGAACTACTGATTAATTAGGTTTATATTGTGAGGGGAATGCCAGAAGTCGAGCTCGATATCTCCTAGATTTCGACCTTGTTGGCTACATCACCCCATATATACTTTTTATATATGGTTTTGGGATCAGTATCATAAACTATATTACAATTTTTATAAGAGCATCTGGCAACGATATCAATCGAGGCGATCTTCTTCCTCTCCTTGGAACGGACGAGAAACGCGACGCACGGAACTGCAGTTGCGATCCGGAGCAGCAAGCTGGTGGTGCTCCAAAATCCTCGCAGACTTTGCTGGATCGAAGCGTCTGGAGCAGCCCCTGCTTCATCTGCGACACTGCTCTGGGCTTACAACACCTATTGCCAAGATGAAACAAGAAGAAATAAAGAGCTCTCTCCTTTTCAATGGAAGTGGGCCGGCACGATGCCACAGAGCAGTTGTCAACGGTGGACCATCATCTATGCCAGAAAAAAGAATCTGTAGAATCGACAGAGCAATCTTTTTGATTTTTTCAAATTCAAACTTTAGCTTGCATTATATAAGATTTACATGGTCCTTATATAAGAGCAACATTATTTTTATAAATATTTCTTTATCCACTCATGTTCGAGGACCTTTTCCAAAGTAAGCCTCCTTCCGGGATCCAATTCCGTCATGCCTTGGATAAGCTGCCTTGCAGAAAGGGATGGAATGCTATCCCAATCCATAGAATTGTGATGGAGATTCCTTAAACTTCGATCTCTCTTGCGTGCATTCTTAAATACCACCTCCACATCCATATTTGGGAACGGACAAGCTGCCGTGAGGCAAGTGTAAAGCAGCATCCCTAAGCCCCACACATCGCTGGCTGTGATATAGCGCCCATCGAGCATCGCTTCGGGGGACATATAATCCCACGTCCCAGCCCCACGCTCGTTCCACGGATCATCCATCCAGCAAGCCATCCCAAAGTCGGACACCTTTGGGACATAGAACTTCCCAGGCCGCGGGTACTTCAGCAAAACATTCGCGGGCTTCAGGTCGCAGTGGATGATCTCGTTGTCATGAACCCTCTTTAGCGTCTTGGCGAGAGCTATGACGATCTTTGCAGATTCTTCCTCATCAAGCTGCCCCTTGTACTTGATCCGGTCCTGAAGGCTGCAATTGCACAGCTCAAGAACAAGGTGGTACACCTCCCCGTACTGATTGGGCTCTTCTCGTATGATGTGCTCGAAGTGGACGAGCCCCTGTTCACCCAAACCCTTGAGTGACACCTCTAGCATAGCCATCACTCGAGCTTCAAACAGCCCATCGGGCCCATGAACTGTCTTGATCGCAAAAACCTTTCCATCACTCCTTCGGAATGCCTTGTACACCGTTGCTTGCCCTCCACCCCCAATCGACTTCTCTAGTCTATATTTCTCTACCAGCGCTGGGTATTCGTCACAGAGATTTTCATCCAGGACCGTGTGGTACTCCATCCCTTGCCTAGGTTTCTTGGGCACATAGTTCTCCAAGCTGTGCTCGCGCTCGCGCTTAACCATCTCGAAAGAGCTCTAGGGCTTGTTTGTAAAGGCAGAATTTTAGTTTATGCATCTTTTATTTTAAAGGTATCATGTTCAAGTGAACATTTCCTGGAATGCCAAGTGTGGAAGCATGAGAGACTCTCGGCGACGGGATTGAGAACCACGACGTTGTCTCCTGGACGGTATTGGTTCTGGGATACGCTCAAAACCGGCAGGAAGATTTGGCTCTGGAGCTCTTCTCGCAGATGGAAGCTGCTATGATCAATCCAGATTGCTCGAGTTTTCTCGCGGCTATCAAAACTTGCTCTAGTCTGGCTGCGCGAGAGGAGATTGATGCGTCGTTGGCTGTGAAGAGCAAGAGCTTGGAACGAGGTTTGGCGATTCACTCTCACGCATCAAACTCTTGCGGCTTCAAGTTGGAGGCGAGGAGACATCCACTTGGCAAACACGATGGTGGACTTGTATGGCAAGTGTGAAAGTCTAGAAGATGCTCGCAGGGTGTTTGATTCGATGGAGCAGCACGACATCGTTTCCTGGACATCGATCATCACAGGCTATGCTCACGAGAGCCAAGATGGAGACGAAGCTTTCCTTCTCTTCTCTTCCATGCAAGAACAAGGATTTAAACCCGATCGTTTAGCTTGTCTCGCCGCTATCAAGGCTTGTAGCGTAATCACCGAGAAGAAAATGGGATTTAGACGTAGAATCTCTCGAGAAAGCAATGAAAATCCACTCGTGGATCTCGCAGCTTGGCCTGGAGAGAGATCCAGCAGTCTGGTTGATATGTATGCCAAGTGTGGAAGCTTGATCATGGACGCTCGCAGGGTATTTGATAAAATCTTAGATCGCGACATAGTCTCGTGGACGTGGAACTCTTTCCTGTTTGGATGTGTTTGTTTACATTGGCGAAGACGAGCTTGCGTTGGAATGCTATGCAGCCCTGGAAGTTGCTCCAAACTCTCAAACCTTTCTTGCGTTGTCGCAAGTTTGCAGGAACCTGGGAGATTTGAAGCTCGGGAAGCTCTTCCACGGACAGATTCTCCGGCAGGGACTGGAAGGGAGTTCTGTGGGGATTTCCCTGCTTGTGTTGCGGACCACATAGAAATCGCTTCAAAGGTCCTGCTTCCTGATGTCAATCTTTCCATCACTTTCTTTTCTCCAGGTCCGAATCACAGCGAAAAGTGGAGCTACCTGTGATACAATGGCAGCAATCGATGGTGGCTTTGCGAAACCTTTGTGTGAGAGCTTGGCGAGAGCTTGTTGACAACACCAAGCTTGCTCTCGAGCTCGGTAACTGTGTAAACTCGCTGGTAGCCGCAAAACCAAGGCTCTCAAGACTCCAACAGGGATCACCCCTTCAAAGATTGTTTGGCGCGACTCCTCAAATATACATCAAAGGTTTTTCTCAAGTGCATCTTTTCCTACTCGCATGCTCCGAAATGCTTGGAACGCAGCGATGGCATCTCCTCGAGCGCCATGTCCTGCAATCAAAGTATTCCATGCCACAGTGTTGGGAGACGCAATGGAGCTCTCAAACACAAGCTCGGCGACCTCGACGCTCCCGCATTTACAGTAGAAGTCTTCACCTAGTCTGCAGTGAAGGAAAAAGAGAAAGATCTCATACTTATGTGCAAGATCCAGCAATTCCAACTTGTCCACAAATCATACAGTTGCATCCTATCACAACATTATGTCCAATCTACATGCAAAGAAGCCAAGAGTAAGTAGTGCTTAATAAAAGAAAAAATTTCTCAAACGTGAACCAAGTCGTCAAGCTTCACCTTATCCCAGATGACTGTATTACACCAGCTGATAATTAGTCCAGGGCAAATGAGACTTCAGAAGAAGAACGAGCCACTTTTGTTACCTCTTAGGGTTGAGGATGAATTGGAATGTTTATCAGCAATTCCTAAGAAAAAAAACATTGTTTGTCGTTGCATTGCTTTTATTATTTATAATAAATCAGTGCTCCAAAAATTTGGTATTTTAACCCCACATTTTTATTTTCCCCACTTTTCCTAAACAATATATTGTTTCAGAATGTTTATAAATTCTAAATATGTTATAGTTTTTGGTTTGCTTAAGCAAACATATAGATGGTAGTGAATATACCTAGAATATGCTTGGATATTCTAGGATATTCTACCATCTAACGGTTGGTATTCATTT